CAGCCATAGAGAGTTGTAACTGGACCTCCGGTGAGATTTCTTGTTCCAAAGTATTTGTTGTAGACAGTCGTCCTCTGATTCTTTGGAAAGCATTTCTGGCTCTTCGTTGAAGGACATAATTCCTCCGTTGATCTTGCCGGTATGCTCGAATTTGATCTTCAAATAATGGCACTCCTGGTGTTGCTGTTGTAGTTTGTGGGCGATCTGTTACCCGAGGGAGAGTAACCGTTTGAGTGCGTGATCTTGACGCCATTTAGATATGCTTCAGTTTAAGCTTATCTAATTCGTCTTGCAGCAACTTGTTTGGATTCCGGTGTACCCTGAGTAAACCTTTTGGCTCCTTAGGCTTTTCCTTGGGTCCGAGAGAGAGATTTTCTAGCTTTGTGATCAAATCTCCCGGAATAGTTGCTGAGGCTTTTTGTGTCTCCAAAGATCTGAGCCTTGCTTCAAGTGCTTGCACCTGTTTTGACAATTGTACACACAATTCAATTATGGTGTTATTTTGTCGAATAAGAGTTTTAAATCCGAGGGGAACTGCGATATTGGCAGAAGTGGTCGAAAGACCAATTCCTGGTGCTTCAGTAAATTCTGACTGCTTCAAAGCCGCTAAGTATGTCAATTCGTCTTGACTCATCCAAGCAAGGATCCCTTTATCTGTTGGAGCAAATCTTCAATTGGCTTAAGCTGTTCTTGTAAATCTTGCCTTGTTCTTACAACTTGTTCGTGAGAAATCTTTGGTGCTTGTTGAGATATTTCTTTAACCAACCTTGTCACCTCTGAGCGAGAGAGTTGATTCTCGAGGCAAACTTGAGTCAAGGAATTCACTTCCTTTTCAAGTTTCTCAACCTTCTTAATAAGCTTTTGAACAGAGACTTCAATGGCTTGAACCTGATTTTGATGACTTCTAAATTCCTTCAAATTAACTTTACTAGAAAGGCAAAGACGATCGTATATAACAGCAATATTATGAGCTAGTTCTTTGGTACTGGGTTTTTTAGTATGGGCTAAATCAAGATAGCTTAGGCGTGATGTGTCTGATTTTTCATACCATTCCTTTATATTTTGTTCCCAAATATTTGTCATAATTTATTATTGATTAGAATAAGATTATGCATATTAGTCTGAGTGTTCGTTTATTACTGGTCTGAGAAAGGAAATACACAGATCTTATCTAAATAAACTACCAAGGTCTTTAATAATTTTTCCTAGATATTCTGGAACTCACCTTTTTGAAGGGCTTACTGCGGCCATCTGCCTTGTTGCCTCCTTACGTCTTTTGTTCTTTAAATATCACAAGAGAATTATTAAACCTTAAGATAGTTATAGATAAATTTTAGCATTAATCCTTTCCTTTGCCCTGGTAGTAAATTAACACCTTTGCCTTGACATGCATAAGATTATCTTTAATTTCAATAATTCATTAGATACAAATTTTGAAAATTCAATATATTGGTTTAGTATAATACATCATAACATCAGAGGCCTTTGTTATCCTGAATGAAAAGTTAAGCTGTCATACTGGATGAAATGAACTAGCTCTGATACCAAATAAAAGAGGATCGTAATAAAGAATTAAATCAGGCTAAGAATATAAGAACTAGATAGAAAATATTCAGACCTGGATTTAATGCTTCAAACTTGAATTACAGCGGAAGACTTTAAACATCAAGTTACATCATCGAATTTTCCAAGGGGATGAGGTATTATGAACCGGCCGGACATCCGGTTGGCCCACCCCAACGGTCAAGCACAGTGAAATATTGATATACAGAGCTTGTCCTCAGTTTGATGAAATATTTGTTCCATTCTCATTTTGATATCAAATTGGTGAAACCATTGGAGCTTGAAAAAGTCACTTTTTCATCAAATTTCAAATCTGATGCATGGTTTGATGCATCGTTGGAGATGGTCTTAGCGATGGCATTTTTGCCGTCGCAAATACTACTTTTAGCGACGACAATATAGTGCCGTCTCAAAAAATCCGAGATTTTTGCATATTATTGCCGACGGCATAATTCCGTCGCAAAAAAGGCAACTTACTGTCGCAAAAAAAAGACATTTTTGCCATCGCAAAAAACTTTTAGCAACACCTTTTGTTGTGATCCGCCCTTTGCCGTCGCTAAAAGTCAGTTGCCGTCTCAAAAATTTTTGAGACGGCGTTTTGAGTATTTGCGACGGCATTTTGCCATTGCAAAAAGTCAAATTTTTTGTAGTGTTGGTAGCCTCAGCTCCTCGCTCGCCGGGATCTGGTATTTGGTACGCAACTCTTCCAGATCCTCTGGCGTTAACGTTGATTTACCCGCATTAGTATGCCAGTGGTCAAGGGCAATTTGACTCAACGGTTAGGCGGCTGATATCATCATCGCAGGAATAGAGCGTGGTGGTCTCTCCATCCTCTTCACAACCAACCTCTTCACTCTATACTTCTTTGTGAGGGCCACCCTGTTGTCATCCCCTAGGGCATCAGGTGTCATGGTAGGGACTCTCTTTTGTGCCATATCCCTTATGTTCCTATAAATCGCTTCAATGGTTAGGGCAAGGAAATTCGAGATGTGAAACAAAGGGGAATTCGCAGCTATGAATGAGAAGTCTAGAATATGTTGGTTTTTAGCAATAAGGTACGAAAACCGCACAAGTCCGAACGCCCAAGGTTTGCCTGTGCTCTAGGGATTGCAGTTAAAATTTTCCAGTTCGAAAACAATTTCGCCAAAAATATAGAGGGAATAAAAAGATAGGTAACGGAAGTGGAACGAAACAAATAGCCTTTTTACCTCCCACAAATAGTTCAAACTCCCCATTAACGGCCTAAACTGCGCCATGTTGATAGCGACTCCACCACTCCACCACTAACTCTCTCTTCTGTCTCATCTGTCTCCCATCGCATCATCACCCGCACCTATACACCTCGAGCCCCGTGTACCATCAAAGCCGTCAAGTCAACCTCCTAGATCCCATGGTCGACCACCTCAACGATCGGTCACCTTAACGATTGGCCACCTTGACGGTCGGTCACCTCAACGGTCAACCATCTCCACGGTCGGTCACCTCAATGGTCGACCACCTCCACGGTCTACCACCTTGATGGTCGGTCACCTCAGCGATCGACCACCTCAGCTGTTGGCCACCTTGAAGGTCGGTCACCTCAACGGCTGACCGCCTCCGCGGTCGGTGACCTCAATAGTTGGCCACCTTGACCGTCGGTCACTTCAATGGTCGGCCACCTTCACGGTCGGTCACCTCAACGGTCGACCATCTTCCTAGTCGGTTACCTTAACGGTCGGCCACCTTGACGGTCGGTCACCTCGACGGTCGACCACCTTGACGATAGGTCAACTCAACAATCGACAACCTTAACGGTCAGCCACCTTGACAATTGGCTACCCCGACGGTTGCCTAGCTTTGCACTTGGCTCTCTTGACGGTTAGTCACCAAGACAACCATCCACCCTTGTCCCTCCTCACCTGTCCACTCCCTTACTCGCTCGGTCCCACCTTTGGCGACTTTGGGGACTACCATCACCTTTCTTATTCCCTTCGCTGCACTAAAGCTGCGCTCGGGAATATGAGACCACTGATGGGCATGGCCCACATGACCTAGGATAGCCCAAACCACAACTACCTTGGGCGGCCCAAACGGTCATTTAGTTATAATCTAGTAGGTGAAACTCAACAGTAGGCCCACGAAGAACCCATGTTGGTCCAGGCCTTGTGATACTTAGACACCTGTTAGGCAGGGAGTTAGCCACGTGACAGACAAAGATCCTGCAGTGTTATTGAGCCCAGGCATCAAGCATTAAATGAGGATGCTATGGCATTAAATGCAACAAGACCTCTCGTCCCTTGTTATGGTGAAACTGCCATGACCGACGACGAGTAGACCATAGATTTTCGGCCAATAAGACAGTTCGAATGGATAAGGAAATGATTGGTAAAAGGTATAAGGAAGCTTGTGAAGAACGTAAAGGACAAGAAGTAATACTCTCTATCTCTGTCTCTCTCTCTCTCTAACTACTCTCTATCACTTCCAATCTAATTTGATCATCGGAGTGTTATCACTCCAGTTATGGTGCCTTCCCACTGGACCTTTTGCAGGCACGCACTAAGGAGATGAAGGCCAACAGACCCATGGAATGCGTGGATCAGTCCGACCCATCCTGCATTGACCATGTTGCATTATCAGTACCCATATTGTTTATCCTATATAGACTTTGAACTTGGAAGTCTTTGTAATTGGGTCCCATATATGTAATTTTCTTTAAGGTAAAATGATGGTTGACTTTAGTCCATTACACGTTGAGGTTTTGTGTCTTAATTAGTGAAGAAAAACAAATAGGGAAATAACAGTGCAGTGTATCAGTCAAAAAAAATTTACAAATCAATGCGAAGGTTATACCCTTTAATAACTAAAATGTTATATTTTTCTATGATTTTGTAATTTTTTTTTTACTGTTACCACTATACTATTATTTCCTCAAAAGGATTCCCCTTATCTTTGATCTTTAGCTTCAGAGAAGTTCTTGGAAAGAACCTAGCTACATGAATGTTGAACTGACCTAATATTATATTGAAAAATAGAAGAAAAAACCTTCTGTGGAAATCAAGAAATAAATTACTTTAGGCACTTTTTTTTTTGCACTATTGAGTTATAGTTTATGTACTTATCTTGTGCCGGTTCTAGGGAAACTAATTGAATCCAAATTTTCTAATTTATTCTTGGTCTCTTTTATAGCAATTGCAACTAGTTTATCCCCTTAATAAATTTCCATACGACTGATCAATTAGTAGTAAGTTGAAAACTAGGTTGGTAAAAATCTATATTACAAAAATTGATCCAAAATTGAATAATTTAAATGTAAAATTAGTATAATAAAAGGATAGAAGTTGAATTAATTTTTGAGTGATAATTTGGGGACTAAAATTTCCTCAATTTTTGTCATTGTTGTGGTTGGGTTATTGGTTAGATAAGTGTGTGATCTCACTCATTTTTTACTGTTTCTGCAGATTTCGTCTTAGTGCTGCAACTTAACGGAATTGACCTAAAAAAAATTCAGCTTGGGGGTCTGCTCAAATTCAGCTTGAAGTATAGAAGGATTTACTTGAATTAACATAAAAAATTTAACATGATTTGTCCTAAACCAATATAGTACACTTTGGAAAGAAGAAAAAAAAAATTGCAAATAGGGACCATATAAAAAAATTAATTTGAGTTGTACACACCAAACATTAGAATTGGTTACATTGAAATATAATTAAATCTAACTGTATAAAAATAATTGGTATTATATATTCATATTTTATGTTTATTATATGTAATTATATATTTAAACAATAGAATTTAGATTGATTAGAGTCCCTAACCTCTTAAATTTTAAGAGTTAAACTCTAGTTGCTCAAGTTGGCACCCTCCCCATTTCTATTAGGTGGTAATACTCTTGAAATCTGGCTCTAATTAGGGGTGTAATTTGAGCAAACTCAACAGTCCAAAATCATTTTAGGGTTTAAGCAATATATATTTTAATTTGGTGCAGACTTGTACAAAAACTTGAGCGAGACACGAGTAAAGACACCAAGCAATCCAACCAACCACCCACCCAGATCAGCCGCCACCTCCTCTTTTTCCCATCACCAAAACTTTTAGGCTGCGTTTGAATCATGAATTTTGATATAGATTTGGAAAGAGAAAGAGAGAGAAAATGATAGTGAAATGTAGTTATATGTCATTCAAATTTCACTTATTTTTTTGCTTTTTCTTTTCAAATTCTTACTCAAATTCATGATCCAAATACAGTCTCAATCGTGTTACTTTTTATATTGGTGGCTAAAATAGTTGGTTTTGCAACACTCCAGGAAACCTTTTTCAGGTTATAAATTAAAAAGGAGATAACTTGGTAGCTCCATTTTTGCAGCTGATGCAGAAAATGGGGCACTAGAATCTAATGTGAACCCTACTTCAAATAACAAAACTGGGTTACGTATGTACCAGGTATATAACAAATCATGTTATTATGAAAATTTGTTGGCAGTATAGGATCTCTGAGTCTATTTTGAAACTGATTAAAAAAAATTTTGGACAGATTTGTTCAATTTTGAAAGAATTTGTATTGGATCTGTTTGAACAGATAGATTTCAACAGATTGGGAACATTAGAACAGGTTTTAAACAGATAGATAGAGAAATCCACAGATTTTAAACAGATAAACAAAGAAACCCACAAAATTTTTGAGCAGATAGGGTAAAAAATTGAACAGATAAGAAAAAATTGAACAAAAGAATTTTTTTTTTGAGCAAGTAAGAAATTTTTTTGAATAGATAGGGAAATTTTTTTGCACAAATAGAGAAAAAATTTGAACACAGTCAATGAAAGTCGACAGAAAAATTAAGAGGCAAAATTGGAAATAAAATATTTTTCAAAATAAACAAAAAGATTTTTCATCAAATTATTTTATAAATGGTGAACCTCTTACTAAAAAAAAATATTTACTAGATCTATTATCTTATACACTCTTTAAATTAGATTTATCACTAATTTTCTCTTAATTTTTTAGTTTTGTCTAGGCTTAAAACTGATGATAATAAAATTGGAAAAATTGACTTAGTTTTAAACTTGAAAAAATTTGAGAAATTTCTCAAAAATTGATAATATTTTCAATTTTACTGGAAATTTTGTAAATTGAGAAATTGTTAATTTCATAGTAACTAAAAAAATAATATTTTATTTTTATAAAATTTTATACTCACTATTAGTCTTATTTGATAAATCTAATTGTGAAAACTTCAAAAATATAATTTTTATGAAAAATAATTGTATATAATAAAAATGATGGAATTTTTAATTTTTAAAATAACAAAACAAAAATAAAACAATACCTACTTATATGTGCTTGAATAGGATAAATTATCTAATATTTTCTCTCACATCAACAATACCTACTTGAATATGAGAAATTATCTAATATTTTTGAAACATATATGTGCTTGCATGGGAAGATAGATTTGGGGATTTTTTTGGCTAAAATAATAAAAAAAAAAAATAAAAAAATAAAAAAATAAGCTTTTTAGTCCAATAAAATAAAATATTATATCCAATCTATAATCATTACATTCTTTCTCTCACAAAAGTCAAAAAAGTCTAAAAGTTCAATCCAAACGAGACTTTTTAACCCTAGACTAAAATAATCAAAAAATTAAAAAGCTAAAAAGTCAACCCACTTCTCAAACGAACTGATAGATGGTTATTTGATAACACCCTTACCTATCATAGGGTGCCTGTTAGATTATCTAACTGTCAGAATTTTGCGCCGCTGAGTGCGTAAAAAAAAAAAAAAACCTAGATTGCGTTTGGTGGAGTTTTGGAATTATGATTTGATAAAATAATTGTATTTTGAGTTTGTAAGTTTTGGAATTATGATTTGAAAAGAGAAAATATATTTGGTTATGAATTTTGAAAAGATTTTTGAATTGAGTTTTGAATTTTTTATGTGACATATGAATTGAGAAAATCTGTTTGGTTATAAGTTTTGAAAAGAGTTTTCAGAACTTAATTTAAAAAGTTATAACTCATAACCAAACGCACAACTTAAAACTCTATTACAAATTCTATTCAAAACTCACAACCAAACTCTTTTTAACATTCAATTCAAAAAAACAATTTGTCATTTGGTCTAAAAAAAATAAATTTTATATTTAAAAAATATAAAAAACAAATATATATATTTTTTCCCCAAATAATAGGTGGCGATTGGCAATTGTAAAAAAAAAAAATACATTGTTTCGGTCAACCGGTCGGACGTCCGGGGGGACGTTTGGGAGGATGACTGAGTAGACACAAAACTTAAAAACTCCTCTGCTTTTCAGAATAGAGAATACAAAAGAGAGAGATATGACAAACGTGAAAGAGAAATATGTTTTGAAATGTGTGGTGAAATCACATTTTCAAAACTCTATCCAAACGGAGGATGCAAATAGCGGGGTGAAATTATGATTACAAAACTTCACCAAACACAGCCTACTACTTGTAGCTTGACTTTTCACGCTCCTTTCGGAAAATGAGAAGCCTTACAATTCGGACTCTACCTGTGGTTTTGAATCTGATTTCACAAGTACAATGTGAAATAGTGAAAACATAAAAAGAGTCCAAATCTAGCAATTCTTTTTGAAAAATCGATATTTTGAATAAAATGCCAAAAATGGGATGCTTTGCCAAATTTCAGAGTCGTCACCTAAACATTTTTGGAAAATTTAGGAAACCCAAGGCTTGTACCAAAGATCACTAGTTCGTCGTTACCAAAGTTGTCTCAGCTTAGGAACTTAAATATGAGAGGAGAAGGTCACGAATTGAGCACCCCTCTCACCCGATCAAAGATCGGCCTCTACTAATCATGATGTGATTCTTATTTACATTATATGCTCTTGTTCCGATTTATTAGACTAGCATTACAATGTGACTTACACATGTATAGACTAATTTTGCAAGAATTGGAATGTTTGATTTAATGTTTTATTTTTAAAAGAATTTGTGAATGTGCCACTTGAAAAAATGGGCTAAAATGGACATTAATCAAATTATCCCAAGTCAAGCAACTAGCCTTCATTTCCAGGCATTCAAACAGTTATATCATTTAAACAATTAGTCTCATAGTGAACATGTTGGATATGGCAACAATCATACTCATGCGATATGCTAAAATGAGTAAAAATTTACTTAGTACTCCAAGCCAAAATAAACAAAAGAGCTAGAAAAGATGTATGACCCTAACGAATGCAATATGACTAATGCAACACATGTGATGTGCAATTACTAAATAGGCTCGGCTACTTAACATGGCATGTTAATCAATTTGTTAGCATGCGGTCTAAGCACGTTTTCAAAGAAGTGTTAAACTAACAATGCAAGTTAGCGTGATGAACCGAGCCTCAATGTATGTAAGACAAGTGGATGCAAACATGAGAGATGCTAAACAAAACATGATGTCCTAAACTAACCATTATAAGCAAGTAAATAAAAGGGAGAAAGACGTGGGGTTGGAAAACATATACATTATTACAATTGTGTGCCCTCATGTAGGAGGGTCCGAATAAACTAACTAGCTAAGCTAATTACTACGAATTAACTAACTATTACAAAACGAATGAAATAATTAACTAAACTAGCTAATTAATTATTACAACAAATTAAATAGTCTATGTATCTAGCTAATTAATTACACTAATTAACTATTTAGCAAATTAGAACTAACTAATGAATTACAAATTAACTAATTACAACATGAATACAATATGAGAGAAATATTAAGCTAACTACTCTAACTACTCTGCCTCGGGACACGAGGAATGCTCATGCATGCGTGAATTTCCACTTGAAAAAGCCACTATTCTGCTGCCAGATGCCTCTGTTGCACAGTAGAACAATTGCACTATTTTTCACCTCAAAACCAACTCTGTTTTGTTTCAAAAGGGCACTGTTGGGTTTTGCAAAGGTGGCCGGCAGGCTAGAAGTGGTGGCCTGCCGGCCACAAATGATGGTCTGTCGTCCACAAAAGGTGGCTTGCCGGCCACTGATGCTTGGTTCTTCCTGCTGCAACAGAGAACAAACAGAGCAAGAGTAGGGTATTCTCAAGGGTTGTTTGCACAACTTACCCCTCCTTATCATCAAACAACTCAAAGGAGTGGTACACTTGATTCAAAAACCATCAATCGATGCAATTTCATTGCATGATGGCCTATGAACCAAAGTGTGCAAGTTCAATAAATACAACAAATAAAGACTTTCAAACTCCCTCCCTATCATGGATTGATCAAGGGAAGTGGTTGACATTGACTCTTAAATCGTTTACATCGCTAACAAGTATGAAACGATCCAAGACTCAAAGGTTCAATTAACGTCTGATTGAACCCTAACCAAATTATTATCTTGCATCATTTTTTAGTCCACATTTTATTACTTCATTTTAAATTACCAACCATTCCTTAGTAAATTAAGGCCAAATGTGAGCTTTAAGTCCCTTAATGGAAAGAAGCATCAAACCGAGAGTTGTTTTAGGCATGAGAGAAGTGTCATGCCGTTGGTAATGATTCCCCAAAGAGATTAAACCAGTAAGCACAAGACCTCAATCTCAAGCTTTAAACAAGCAACTAGTTTGAACTAACTTTCAAAGTAAAGAAAAAGCCAAGAAAAGAGGGAGGTTGCAACGATGATTAGATATGAATACAAGTATGAAAATAAAGAAATAAACACTATTAACTCAAATAGGTTGGTGGCTAAAGCCTAAAC